TCTGGAAAGTCCACATTCTCCTCAACATCAAAATCAACATCTGGTATCTCATCATCTATGTCTGCAGACACATTGGGGTCCCACACCAGGTCATCTGCAAGCTCCTGTTGCACTCTCTGGATCTCTTTGAGGGCCTTGTCTGTGGCATGCTGGAGCACATGCTCCTCAGGGTCTGGGGGTAAGTGATGCACATGATATGCAGTCAGGGGCTGAGCACCTGCTATCATCACTGCATTATACATGCTGTAATAGTCAATGACATCAAGAAGGGCTTCTGGAGAATGGAAGTTTGGCCCTAGATTTGGCAGCTCACTACCAAATACTTGTATATTGATGTCCTCCTGTGTAAGTGTGCCATGGTCAATCATTTGTTGCTTGACCACTGAAGAGGAGCTTGCAGGGGGATCAGGAAAATTTGTTATGGGGGGTAAAATAAGGCCCCTGGTAGGATAAGGCAAGATGAGGGATGGTGGCTTGCTGGATAGATGGGGGATGATCAAACCATGATGGATGCCTTGTGAGGCAGATGTCCTCTGTCAGAGGTCTGTGCATTCATGTGTATGTCTCATCTCATAATTGACTAGTTTTCCCCAATAATTGTAGCTCTTGCAGTTGCATGGATACACCTTGGGCATGGCAGGCTGGGGATGTGTTAAAAGGGAGAGAGGCTGTAGTTGATCAATGCATATGTGCACTTTACAAATCAATTTAAATTCTTATTTTGGTGTATCTACAACAAACAGGAGTGCATGCATTTAGTTTTCTGCAACCTTGAGGTGTTTCTGTGTTAATGTAAGTGGAGTGGGAGAAAGCAGATGCTTGGAAGGGGTGTCAAGCTGGGTGAACTCAAGTGGTGGATCTCCACATAATGCTTGCATACACCTCACAAGGACAAATGTGCTGACCAATTCTTGAGAGAGTGACAAAGACTGCAAAGGCAGTTGGTTGTGGACCATGATGAGGCCATCACCCTGGGTCTTGTTGGTAGATGAACAGACACAAGAAGAAAAAGAATACCTGCCTTTGATAATGTGGTCTCAATCTGCTTGTCATTGCTCTCTGGCTCTGTGGCACTATCATCAATGTCTGGCAAAATGAAGGTTAGTATCAGGTTCCAATAGCCAGGGAGAGCATGTACAATTTGACTTACCAGCCCTGTCCTTTGATGGAGTTTTTGCTGGTGTATTGAAAAGTGATGGGGATAAAGATACCTTGCCAAGATTGGAAGTGGGTACTGGTTGTTTGTCACAACCCATAGACTTGCAGGGCTTGGGTGTTTCAATGGGATCAACTTGGACTTGTCCATCCCTGTATTGGACAGGAAGCACAGTCATTATCTCAAGAGTCTTGGAAAATAAAAATAAGTTTATATACTACAGAGCTGGATGAATTGCTTACCACAATGCCTGATGCTGGCAGTGTGAAGGAAATGTGATACATGCCAGGGTGTGTGATAGGGAGCTGGAATGATATCAAGTTGGTCATGATGCGAGTCAGGCTGAGGGACTTACAAATTTTTTCTGCAAAGCATCAATGAGCTGTCTGGAATGCAGGATGGTGCACTGGCAGGTGGGTACACATGTGTCCCAATGTTGAGAAAAAAACCCATTGGTCTGTCTGGAGGCAATCAGCATGCAGACAAGTGAGAACTTGGCAGGGTACAAACAGATGATATGTTGACCTGTTTGGCTTATGGATTTGGCATGGACACATGATTTGTGATGAAATCATATGTCTAGATATTTCTGCAGGTTCTCTAAGATTTCTCACAGTCTGGATTTAGTACAGGAAGGTTCTTCGATATTTCCAAAGCACAGATTTGATACAGGCATTGAGTTAGGTATGTATTTAGTACAGGTAGCTGGTCTGACACCATCTAAATCTTCCCTGGACAAAAACTCATTTCTGCAGTGAATCAGATGAATGCCCCACAGAATAGATTTGACAGAAATGACCACTTGAACATGGTGTCCAGCAGCATTTACCTCTGGCACTATGACCCATATTCCTGTCAAGGGGTCCAGTGCATCACCAAATGGTAAAAACCATTTGACCAGAACACAGGAGTGTGAATGGCCCTGAAACTTGAATGAGAAAAAAAGTAAACAATGAGTGATGAGCAGACCACAGAGTAGATCATTCTCTGAACTGCTGTAGGGAGCTGTATACTCCCTGAGGCTGAAACAGGGAACATCAGTAAATTCCACTGCCCCTGCAACAAGCCCCTATTGCTCTATGCCTTTGGAATTCTTCCCACTCATTGCCTCATGTTTTGTCCCACCCCCTTTAGGCTTCGGAGTTTTTCCTGACCTCCAATGTGTCCCCTGGACATCAATAAGCTGATCCAAAAAATTCCACATTCACCCAGAGACATCAATATACTGATCTGGAATTCCACATCTGAGCCACTGTCCAGCCACATCACCAGTAGTCAGTGTCATTCACCTCTAAAAAACTCCAGTTCCCCCTGTCACCCAAAATTCCTCAGATCATCCTTCATATGTGTAGGCTCCTCCCTTCTGCAGTTCTGCCCTTCCTGCCAACTCCACCTCTCACCTGTACATGTACCATTGTTCTGTTGGAAGATATCCCCCCTTGCCTTTGTCCCTTTTACTCTCATTTACTACTCATCAGACTATTTCACATGCATTCATACTTCACTGACATCTGTCATCCTTCCCTTTATTTTCCAGCCTTGTAGTTTTTCTGCCCCACTTTACTCTGACTCATATCTGCATCCCATGTACTATATAATTCCACTGTAGTGTTGGAAAAATAGCATGCACTATTGGAGTCACTATCCATGCATTTCATGAGTTCAAGAGTCCCTCAGAGTAATAAAGAGTCTATTGAGCCTACAGTGTCTACAGTGTCTTCAGTGTTTCTTGTACCTACCATGTCCCTTGGCCTGTCACACCTCATCTTGTATCCCCCTCATCTCAGATACTCTCTTCCCATCACATATCTGCCTCTTGGAATTCTGCATACCCAACTCACTGTGCTCATGTGCCAACAAACCATCAAAATTAAATTCCACAATCCTCACCTGCATACCCTATCCCTTCTAGTGTAATCTTTGGCTTCTCCTTCCACTCAGCACCCCTTGGGACAATCCTAGGGAATCTTCCCTTCAGCTTTCCTCTAGTCACATGCTTCCCAGAAGCAGTGTCCCACAATGTTTTGGAGCCCACCACAAGGGGTCTGTAGATCTGGAAAGGAGATCCTTACAACCCACTCATCAAAGAACTGAACTCAAAGAGCTCCTAGAGCCCTTCTGAAGACTATCTATTTCTTCATTGGAAATCCTAATCCTGGTAGCTGATCCCAGAGACATTTCAGAACCACACTCATCAGACTCAGAGCTCAGATTAGATGAGATCTTTTGGAGTCCTGAATCCCCAGTGTTTTACCCAGCATTTCCCAGAGGTTTCAACTTTGATGAACCCATCACACCTCCCACTGAGCATCAAGAACATTTGCCTCTATCAGAACTATCTTCCTCTTTGTTCATGTCACCCAGCAATTCAGAACTAGCTGCTGAATAGCTACTCCTTCCTTCCCACTCCTTAATCAAAAATTCTGTTATCACCCTTCCAACTCAAATACCTGCTCAGAAACCTGCTCAGAATTCCACTCCCTTGCCTCTTTTGAATTGTGGGCCTCCTATTCTCCAAATTCCGGACCAGAATTCTACACCTCTCTGCATAATGTCTAGAGCTAAAGATATGCTGCTCAGGGGTTTGAACAAGGCCCTGAAGTTTTCCAGATGCACTGAAGATATCACTTGTTACCTTGAAGACATTGAACAACTCTGCCTTGATGCCAGTCTTGTTTCCAGAAAAGATAAGATTCACTGGGTCATTTGCTACACAGACCACAACAAGGCAGGATTTTGGTCCACCTTAGATGCTGCAACAGACAGCTTCAATGACTGGGATGCATTCTCCAAAGAACTCCTGAACTACTACCCAGGAGCCTCAGTGAAACATCATCACTATACCAAAGCTGACCTTGATACTCTACTCTACCACCAGGTTCAGAAGCCAATGGAGTTGCTGGAAGATCTCAGGAAATACATTCAGGAATTCAGGTGCATCCTTGGCCTCATTCAGAAAAAGACAAAACTCCCTGAGGACTATGTCAACAAGAAATTCCTAGAGAGGTTTCCCCTGAGGTTCCAGAATTCCTTGCTCACACAATCGCAACTTTCTGACCTAGATTATGATATTGATGAACCATGGGAATTTGATAGTCTACAAACATGCCAACTATCTCCTCAGTGGAGCCAAATGGAACCTCCCTCAGCCAGACTCATTGGCACTGTTTCCCCAGAATTCTGCACCAACTTCCTCATCATTGGTTCCCACTATCTTGAAACAAGAGTATGTTCAGGTCACTCAGCAACCAGTCTCTGCCTCACTTCCTCAACAAGGTCAAGAAGGCCAATTCTGCTGTTCTTTTGATCCATGGTGTTTCTTCTGTGGGGGAACCAATGGCCACCATACTGTGGAGTGCACACTGTGCCATGAATACATACAAGCTGGAAAATGCTCCCTGATTGGGGGAAGAGTTTTCATGCCAGACAGCTCTGATATTCCTAGGACAGCTGTAGGTCAGAATTTTAAAGAAAAAATTGACAACTTCCTCAGCATGTGTGACTTGATCATTGCCTCAGCAAACCTTAGCAGCCCAGTCAGCAGTCAACCTTGCCTTGTGGATGCAATACCCCTCCCCACCTTGTCAGCACAATGTTCTTCAGCAATGAGGAAGTCTTGGAATACCAAGCAGACTTACATCCCTCCTCCTATCTAGTCAATGAAGATCTAGAGGAGAGTGCCAATGAAGAGGACCACTGCACCTTAGCAAGAGCTTATGTGCAGGTAGAAGAATTGAAGAATGCTATCAAGAGAAAGAAGACAGCTCATTTCAACAGCACAGAAATCCCAGCTCATTGTCAAAAACCTCTAGCAGCAGTCCCTGTGCCATCCTATGCAATCATATCATGCTGACCCACCCTGCCACCATGGTATACAGCATATGACATCGCAGTGCATTCTGCCATGTCCTGAATGATTGCTTGGTGCATAGCAGGTGGCTGATGCAGAGTTAAACACCTCGATGTCACCATCAAAGGATGGACATTGACAAAGACTGACATGGGCTCCAGACATCTCTGCATTGGGGTTGAGTTGGTCATATAGATAGCACTGGGTGCACTCAATGAGTTCTGGATAACCATAGTGTGCAGCCACAAGCTTGCTCACATGAGGTATATTCTGTAGTAAAAGAAATCACAGACAGTTAACTAGCACAACACAGACATCACAAGTCATACTCACCTGGCTTTCATGCTAACTGGACATCATAATCTGATTTGTCTCCCTCAACCACCTGAAACTCATCTTCCTCCTTTCCATCCTTGCCATCCACTGTGGCAATATCCTCTCTTCTCACTGCTGGAACCAAAGTGCTGTCCAACACACATAGTGTAGTCACATTTAGTCACAACACATGGGCAGCCTGTGCGCCAAAACACCAACACTCATATAGACCCCAAGACAGGCCCACCTAAATAGATTAGCCAGTACACATGGACAGGCCTGAGGGACTAAAGGGAGAGCAACACATGTACAGGCCTGTAAGTGCATTACCACAACATATGGGAGGGCCCACAGTGGGTAAGGATGTTGAAACATTTAGACAGGCCCATGACCAATTAAGTATACTGAGTTGCTGTAAGACATGGACGGGCCCATCCTGGTAGGTTACCCCCCTGTTGCAACATCAAGGTGGTGTCACACACCAAAGGTGTTTGGTGAAGTGGACATGGATACAGCTGATGAATGGAGATGAAGACCATAGCCCTCATGTGAAGAAGGACAGCCAGGAATGTCGGCAGTCATCCCTTGCACAAGAACAAGTCATCAGTGCCAGAGAAAAAGAAAGGGAGCAAGTTAAGCACTGGCTAAAATTCTTAAGCACCCATGTACAGCATTCTGGTTTTCAACATATCTCTGCCATTTCTGCAGATACCGAGACCATTCCCACACTCACTTGTAGTGCTCAGCCACATGATCTTACCTTCCAAAATTGGAAAGGATTTGCACACTCCACATGTTTCTACAGCACTCCCTCCAAAAGACACTCATTTCACTAAATTCTTCTGATATGGCTGCCTCTACATCAATCATTTCGCTTGTCCCCTTTGCTAGGGACCATGGCTACATATATCTACCAGGAGTTCCTACCAGCTTCTGTCCTGAAGCATCCTGGTATATCCCACCCTCATCTGTGCCCTCTCAGCCCATCCAGCTTGGACAGCATGTTCTTTTTTTCAGTATGACCTCTAGGAGGATGTTCTTTGGTCACCTCAGGTCTGTCATTCACTTGGAAAGGTCTTATGTGGTCATTTCAGTCTCTCTGGTCCAAGAAGCATATGGATCCTTCCTCCCTGCTCCCTGCAATGTCTTCATACCGGTCTCATCCATCATTCTTCCAAGATTGCAACAGCTACAGTATAATCTACTGTTCTCCACTCTCCCTGATTGCATCCATGACAAGTATGATGCACATCTTGCCTCCTTGTTGCAAGATACAGCAGAAGACTCTCCCCCTTCATCCTCTCTTCCAGCAGAGCCTCATTCATGAAGTTTTTATTTGCTTCACTGAGAGGATGGTTTGGGGGGGAAGGTTGTGATCCCCTATGCTCCTGTCACCCAACAGACCCCCAAAGCTTGACCCCTGTTGACATCTGACTCACCCTGTCCACTTTTGGATGTACTATATCAGCATCAAATCAGTGCTGCCTCTCTGTCATCCCACCTTGGCCTAGAAGCAATCTCTTCAAGATGTGACATGCACAGCCTCCCCCTAATGCAATTCCAGTGCACTTTCCCAGTTCCTGACATTACTTGACTCATACTTTGACATTCTGACTGTCTTTGACTCACCTATTGCCAATACTTACCAATCTTTTGACTTTGCTTACTGATTCTTCGCTTTTTGGTTTGCTAATCCTTACCAATGCTTACCAATGCTTTCCAAGATGATTACCCATCACTTACATTCCTTACTCATCAGTTACCAATCACTTACCAAGTGTTTGCACCTTGTTTTCCATGGGCAACACCCCTGTACTGTATATAAATCACTGTACTTAGATAGCAAAAAAGAAGACATCAGAGAGCCCCTCTTGCTTGCATTTTATCATCACTCAGTAATTCATTCAGCAGCTTTGATAGTTGAGACTTTATTAAGGGTCTAACTATTGTCTACTTTGCTTATCCTTGTCTGTCATCAATATACTTCACTCCAAGCCCTCCCTGAGCTCAGTGCAGCTTAGGACATTGAATTAAGTCATCATCCATCCTTCTGTAGGCTGACAGCAGTCTACCCTATTGCATTCTCTCACATTCCTGCTTCTTCTTCATCAGGAGCACCCCCAACCCTCAGCACTTGTCTTTGAGTGTTGTAGCTTGCAAAAACCCTCCCAAAGAACAGGTTCTACAATCTAGGTACTGCATAGGCACACCACCACTCGTTCTTTTTGTCTTTTGTGTTGGTTTTGGTTGGTTTTCACCACTGAACCACACTTTGACTCACAGTGGGCCCACCTATCATAACATGGAGAGGGTCACAACATAAGGACAGGCCTGTCTATGATTAGAATACAAAGTTGGCAACATATGGATGGGCCCAGGAGTAATATCATTCATGGTGTCACAACATCTAGACAGGCCTGTTCATAATAAGCTGTACCCCTGTTGCAACATAAAGATGGGCCTGTCAGTAATGTCATTTCATAATGTCACAACATATAGATGGGCCTGTCAACAGTAAGATGTACCACTGTTGAAACATAAAGATGGGCCTGTCACTAGTATCATGCAACATATGGATGGGCCCATCCACAGTAAGATGTACCTCTGATGAGCCATAAAGACAGGCCCATCAGTAATCTCATGTATAGCATCACAACATATGGACAGGCCCTTCAGTAGTATTATTTATATTGTCACAACATATGGGTGGGCCTGGCCCCTGTAAGATGTACCCTGTCAAAACATAAAGATGGGCCCATCAGTAATGCTGTTTAATAGTGTCACAACATAAGGATGGGCCCTTCAGTAGTATTGTTTCTATTGTCGCAACATATGGATGGGCCCATCAGTAATATCATCTAATAGCATCACAACATAAGGACAGGCCCTTCAGTAGTATCATGTATATCATCACAACAAATGGATGGGCCCATCTAGCAAGATGCACCCCTATCGCAACATAAGGACAAGTTTGTGTATGGTATTCTTAGGCAGCAGAAAGGGAGATCCAAGCTATCTACATAAGGACAATCCATGTAAGGCATTCTCAGGCAGCAGAAAGGGGGATCAAAGGGATCTACATAAGGATGGGCCCATCCATGGTATTCTCAGGCAGCAGATAAGGGAAAACAAAAACCAGTGTTGCAACATAAGACAGGCTGATCTGTCCATCACAGGATTACAAACCCTTGGCACTGCATAAGACAGGCCAATCCATCATATCATAGATAGCTCACCACAAATGGACAGGCCTATCCATAATTGGGTTATCCCCCTGTCACAATATAAGATGGGCCCAGGAAGACAAGAGATGAAGAAAGTGGAACCTCTTGCACTATAGAGTATCTGAATTTCCCACTATAAATTGTGTTTCACATTGGATGATTTGCCTATTTAGTTGGAATCTCAGGTGCTGGTCTATGTAGCTGTGAGCCAGGCTCCACCCTTGGAGCAGACAGGAAACATGCAAAACAAATAGCAATGCTATTCCAGAACAACACATCATATTTTTATCTGAGCCTCTGCTTCATATATGCATTCAGGATTATTGACTTGTACCAGTATTGCTGTCATGCCATGGGAATCATTCATAGGTGGGATAAAAAATGTGACATCCATGTATCTCATCATCCGTCTTTAACCTCTGACTCTTCCACTCTCCAATCACCATCACCACTCTCACTATCAAACTACTCCATTGTCTCATCATCAGAAACATGTTGTCATTGTCATCTCACAAGCTCTTCAAGAAATTGCCTGAGCTCAATGCTGCGGCCAACTGCATCCTTCAAATTTACTTCAAGGATATCATGGAAAGCAGAAAGCTGGGAAAGGTGGACAAGATTGTGAAGTGGAGAGGTGCCATCAAGGCGATAAATGATGAACTAGTGCATCATAGCATCATCACATTTTTTTCACTAACTGATGCATTCAGGACACTGTATGCAACCTCATCACTAGGACAGATGAGATTCCAATGACCCTCATTGGCATTGACACATTCTTAAAGTGGCATGAAGACCTTGGCTCGATCGAGCACCTGTGGCCTGAGTGGAAGACCACCCTATCCCCTTCCAAAACCGATGTTGCCAACCACAAGTGGCTCAACATTGTTGAGCATCAATATGACTACCACCAGTTGGGCCTCCCTATGCCACATGTTGTGCCAACACCAACACCACCCACTCAAGAGACTGAAATGCCTATGAGCAACAAAGGAAAATGGAAAGCGACTGAGGCAGAGGTGGAGCAAATGATAGCAGATAGCTCGCACAGGATAGAGGTGGATGATGAGGGTGAAGATGAGGTGCCAGAGAAGGAGGATGACAAGGAAGAACCAGTGCAAGGCAGGCAGAAGTGCAAAGCTGCCACAAAAACAACATCCCATCAATCCAGATGTCAATCCCACTCTAGGAAGGCAACAGCAGAAACCGACGATGATGAAGACATTCCTGCTCAAGGCCAATCGAAACACAAGCCTCGTCCACCATTGGATGGACTATATGGTTGTGCTGCCATAGCTGCCAGAAGGACACCTTCCCCCAACCCCCATTCCTGCGACTTGTGCCACAGACACAAGGTCCGATGCTACAAGAACCCTGGGAAGTCCTGCTTCCTGTGTGACAGTCACAAAATTCGATGTAGCCATGCCAAAGGTGGAATTGCTGCTCCAACTCAATGGAATCCATCACGAGCCAGGGGAAAAAAGCAAGCTCGAAGTCTGTCCCTGACAATGGAGGCCCAAGAATCCCAAAGTCCAAAGGAATGTCCCCCAAAGTGACACATTTCGATGGCTTCCAAAGCCATCAATGCTGGGGTTGAGCCCTCCAACCAGGGAGAGACAATCCCTGAGGGATCTTCACTCAGTATGTTCACAATTTCATGTATTTACACTGACTCAAATTTTATTT